CTGGGGTGTAATCATGCGGGGGGGGGGAGCAGATCACTGCTTGTACAGTGGTCTGGTACGATCTATTTCTCAGTGACCACATGAAGCAAATGTGCTCCAGCCTGACCCTAATCAGTGCTCAAGCTGGACCATTTTGACCCTGGTCTAAGGCTTCTACTGTACTTTTTGGTCTGGACTGAAACAATTCCATGGCAGATGGAAGGGTCACTTTAAGGGAAATTACTCCCATTAAACTGATACTCTCTAGTGTAATAAGATGCATACCTTTCCAGCAGTCTGTCTGCACTTCTGTTTTGCTAGATCAGGCCAAATATCGATTCATTCCAAAATTATGTGTTTATGCTACACAGTTATATCAGTTTGATAGCACCTTAACTCTCATGGATCCATCCTATAGAATGCTGGGGTTTGTAGTTTGATGTGGCTTTTAAACATCTCAGTGCTCAGGAAAGCCACAGAGTCCTCCCTCTAGCAGAGAATTCTAAGTACCTTATCAAAGTACAAATCCCACAATGGAGGGATGGAGGCCAAGAAAGTTGAAATGTTGTCAAACTGATGTAGCTGTATAGTTTAGATACACTCTTTGTCTCCAAAACCATTAAGCTGATGTTTCTTGGAAATTAAGCAGGCATAAAGATAAAGGTAATCATCTTCCCTTTCTCTCCAGCAACTGGCAATCAGTGTTATAGCCACTATGCTAGGAACATTGGGTAGAAAGTAATAACTGCAAGTTCTTGATTAAATGGATGCATCTTCTCTTTTCCAGTTTGGTTAATACTGTATATAGATGAAGCTGACCACTCCCAGAGGATTGGGAACTGTATTGCTTCCTCTGAGTTCATCAGAGAAGTACACAAAGCCCTCTTACTTCCAGTAAATATCCAGCCATGCTTAGGATCTCTATGGAAATTGTGTGGGTGTAGTGTTTGAATTAGAAAACAACATTATACCTATTTTTTCTTATAAAAACTTAACCAATTGCATCCAGAATTTAGAATGTCGTGGAAAAATCATTTTTGGGCAAAATGGCCAAGTCTTGCACTAAAATTGGAGTAGGAAAATTTTTTTTAGATTAATACTGTAATTCTTATTATGTGACATCAAGTTGATTCTGATTTACGACAAGCCTTACATGGGTTTTCTAGGTATAAAATGCTCAGAAGCGGTTTACCATTCCCTTTTCCAGTGGTGCTTGAGGACTCTACAGCTTATCTATGGCTACATTGTCTGCATGGTCTCCTAGGAGGCACAGTGGGGAATCCAATTCCTGACTTCTGGCTCCACAGTCAAGTACCCAAATCACTTGAGTTTGAGACTACCCTTTCCCAATCAATTTCAATCATATTATTGTGAAACCATATACAGCATAAAGTTGCAAACCTACACCCAGGCTCCCTAAAAGTGTTATTCAAAAAGGGTTTGTAGGTTGCAACCAACGTTCTCATGAATGTAGTTTGTCTGTTGGATTTCTCAATGCGGAAAACAAAAATACTATGTTTAACACTGCTTTTGAAAACAGCCTTTCTGGTCTCTGAGGAGAATTGGGAAAGTGCCAAATTTGCTACCGATGAGAATTATGAGGCAATCAGGTGAGCAGTTAACTACTGCCATCTTGTGGTTCTAATGTCCTCTACACCTGAAATATAGAGAAGAGAAACTAGCTGGCATCATGGAGTAAGTAGCAGATGTACTGCAAATGCACAGCTTTGCAATGTTACACCCCAGAGGTATAATTTAATAAAGTTAATACAACTAGATCCACAGTCTTGGGCAGTTGCCCGTATCATCCCAAGGATCTAGCCAAACTGGGCAACTTTCCATCTATGACGTGATCTGTGCTCTTCAAGATGAAAAACCAGATTTCCTCTGAAATACAATGAAGAGACCCTGCACTTACCATAATTATTGTCACCCTTTGGGCCTTTAGGTGCATGAAGTAAAACTGAATGGAACAATTTTGTGGCAGCAACAGAGTACCATTATTATTATTATTATTATTATTATTATTATTATTATTATTATTATTATTATTATTATCACCATCATCATCATCATCATCATCATCATCATCATCATCATCATCATCATGTTTTTCTACAGATCATCATCATCATCATCATCATCATCATCATCATCATCATCATCATCATCATCATCATCATCATCATCATCATCAATGGTATTATATAACAGATACAATTTTTAACCAAAAACCTAAGTATATGTTAAATATCCGCTCAGTATGTCTGCTGTTCCTAATATTGCCATTTTTGTAGCTCTGATTTCTGAGATCTGCAACTGCTTATAGTGCTGTGTAAAGTTTCTTGATATTGTTTCCGAAGTCCCAATGACTATGGGGACCACTGAAGTGTGTTTCTTCCAGAGGTGAGATGTTTCGATTGCCAGGTCTCTGTACTTTGTTAGTTTTTTGAATTCTTTATTTTCAACTCTGGCATTCCCTGGAATTGCAATGTCAATGATCCATACATTTCTTCATTCTATTATTACTATGTCTGGTGTGTTATGTTCAAGGTGTCAATCTGTTTAGATCTGGAAGTCCCGCAAGATCTTGACTTCCTCATTTTCTGACACCTTCTCTACCTGATGTTCCCACAAGTTCTTGGACGCTGGCACATTATATTTTTTGCATAATGACCAGTGCACTAACTTTGCCACTCTATCATGTCTAACTCTGTAATCTGTTTGTGTAATCTTTGGACATTCACAGATGAGATGTGACACAGTTTCTCTTTTTCTTGGCTGAGTCAACATTTGCATTAGCACTATTTCCTTGGATTTTAGTTTTCATCACATTGGTTTGGAGTGTTTGTTCTTGTGCAGCAAAAATCAAGCCTTTGGTTTCTTTCTCAAGGGTCCCCAGTTTTAGCCATGCCCATGTTGAATTATAATCATGCTTTCCATCAATATTCTCAGATGCTGTTCATGTAGTGGTTCCCCCCCCAGCTGTTAATTTATTTTCAAATTATTGTTTCTTATATCGAGCCTTTGTTTTTGTTGTTTTCAAAATATTCTCCATTTTCACTGCTTTCAGTATTTTTTCTCTGCTTGTACTGATATAATTATTTAGGCTTATTTTTTCTTCCTTTACTACCTGCTGTATTAGCAATAATCCGTGGCCTCCGATTTTTCGTGGTAAATATAATCTGTCCACATCATTTTTGGATGTAGTTGTGATGCATGGATATTTTCACTAAATATTTGCACAATGTTTAGCAGTGATTCTATCTCTGTGGAACTTTTTCCATATAGTCTTAGGCCATCCATATACAATAGATGATTGATTTTTCTTGCTTGTTGTGAAATATGGTAGCCCAATCCAGCTTTATTTAAAATTATTGACATGGGGATTAGTGGGATGTTAAACAGCAGTGGTGGCAAAGAATCTCCTTGAAATATTCCTCTTTTGATGTTAACTTCCCCAATTTCTTCACCATGGGCCATTAAGATAGTTTCCCATTTTTCCACATTTTTCTTGAGGAACTTCTGAATGTTTTTACTAATCCCAAACATTTTTAGGCAGGTGTTAATCCAGCTGTGGTAATGAGTCAAATGCCTTTTTATAGTCTATCCAGGCTATGATAAGGTTTGTTTTTCATCTTTTTTTATTCCTCAGTATCATTTTATCAATAAGCACCTGATCTTTTGTGTCTTTTGACTTTTTAAAGTACCCTTTCTGTTCAGTTGGGTATAGGGAGCTTTCAGTTAAGTATTTAGATATTGATCTTGCAAGTACTCCTGGGAGGAGTTTGAACATTGTTGGAAGGCATGTAATTGGTTGATAATTACTTGATTCATTGCCCTTTTGATGATCTTTTATTATCATAAATGTGCGGTCTGTTGTCATCCAGCCTTCAGTTGTAGAATTTCAAGTAAGTGGTTAAATTGCACAGCTATACGTTGATGGAGACTTGTTAGATGCTTTAACTAAAATCCATGCAGCTCATCTGGACCATGTGCACTCCAATTTTTCACAGCTTTTACTTCCCTCCTCCTCCTCCTCAGCATCATCTTAGAACTACAGAACTAGAAAGGATACTATGGCTCTTTGAGTCCAGCCACTGTCAAGAAGGCACAGTGGGGAATCGAATTTACCTTTATCTACCAAAAATAATAATAATAGTGTGTCATCAAGTCAATTTGGGCTTATGGTGTCCTTTTTCAGGGTTTCTGAGGTAGAGAGTACTTAGAAATGTTTTCTCATTTCCTTCTTCTGGGGGCATCCTGTTGCAGATTCTTGAATTTTGGTAAAATTCCTCTAGCTGCACAGCAACAGAGCAGAATTAGCTTCAAGTTCCCCAGAATAAGCCCTTTCTCATCAACTGGCACTTGCAGTCTCAATAACTCACTCTAGACATCTGAAGTAGAAAGACTAAAAGGTTTTATTTACTAATAGTGAACAAATAACAGCAAGCGAAATACATGAGTGTTGTCAACAACGGGCCTCAACAGACTCATTGCTTTCAACAGACAAAAGAGGGTGAAAGCACTCTTAGCAGAGAGGCATAGCTCTCTTTGAATTCAGATGCAGGAGGGAACTATTGGTGCTGGATACATTCAGAGTCACCCCACCCCAGAAAGTTCCCTCCTTAGTCACATGTATTAGAGGCAACATGGGAGGTTGCAATAATTTCAGTTATAAGGCTAAGGGTAAGGATACTGACAACTTCACTCTTAAACTGAAGATTCAGGGCTGAGGGTAAACTTAAGTAAACTTAAAAACAAATTGGTGTCCACCCCTTTTAATCTTAGTTAACATTTACATGTTTCATAATGGCTCACTATGTCATGCCAAGTTTCTCTAAACTACTGTAGACAGAACTTTTTTACTGTTCATCATTATATTTGTATTTGGGAAAATGATGTATTCAGATTGTTATATACTGTACAGAATATTATAGCCTTGGAAGAAAACAGAAAAATTCATCTAACTGAAAAAACTTCAATACAATAATGAGATAATACCATAATCATTTATTTTATTTTATTTGAAATACCATCAAAATAGCATTCCTCCAGTTTTCTGCTAAGCAAACAAACAAACAAACAAACATAAAGCACTTTAGCCAAAATGTAAAATGGATTATCAAGTATCATATATCTCAGTGAAAAAAAGGCCTGAAGTTGCATTTTGTGTGCTGGTAGATAACTTTTTCCTAATGATAGCAAAGAGGGTGCTAGGAGGAGGTGGTTCTGTTGTATCCCCAGGCCAGAGATGAAACACAATTGCCTAGGAATGAATGAATGAATGAATGAATGTTAATATTTATGTGCAAAGAAAAAGATAAAACTTGATGGCTAGTAAATATTGCCAGTATCAGACATTGCAAGAGTTCAGTATGGCCTATATAGGTAGCTAAAGATGGGTCAGCAACTGGAGAGAGGGCAAGAAAGGCAATACACAAAGGGAACTAAATGATGGTTAACTCCATCACAAACAGAGCCCAGATCTGCTATCTGAATGACTGCCAGCATGTTACATCACTTTCTTGTTCAGCCTTACCCACTTTCCTTATGCTTCAGCTAGGCTGCTCACATCGTAATTTTTAAAAAGAGCTACTACGGGCAGCTGTAGCTATTTATCTGTTCACTGTAGTCTTTTTTTTAAAAAAGGGGGGCATTCTATTACCCCACAGGTTGTCGTGGTGGGAGAAATCAACAATGAACCTAGACCAGCTACTTTTACCCTATAACATCTTCAAAACCTTTCAAAGACCCTGCATTCCTCATTTGGGGTGACGATGTGGCCCCTTCTGCTTGTGAGGTGCAGACTTCCCTTTTTTTAATACAAAATTAGCATTTCAAGGTTCTCTCTTTGCAACACCCCATCCCCATGCCTTGAGGTGCTTGGAGGTGAGAAGAGATGGGGAGCAAGCAGGAGAGCAGACCTGACCCTGTGCCAATGGTGTGTCTTGCTGCTGTCTAGAAGGGCACGAATCCCATTTGCCTATAACATTTGTCGCACCCATGCCACAGGTGGGCTTCCTGTTCAATAAAACCATAAATGGTCTTCTGAGCTGATATGACAAGTTAACAGGTTTAGTGGTCCCCACAGCCACTAAACCAACTATTTTACCACTAATGCCCTCCTAATATAATTGTGTTTCTTTCTTTCCACACATGGAATTTTATTCCATCAGTGCCTTTGCATTCAGCTTCTCCAAATGAGGGGATTTCCAGACTCACTCCAGCAAAGAGGAGAGGCCAGAAGATGGAGCCAGAGACAAGTCTCCTCTAAATTTAATCCAGGCTAATGGTGAAATAGCTGCAAGACAAGAGACATTACTTGCTGCGTCCTTGCAACAAACCTTGCGTAAAAGCTCCAGATTCTATTTTTACCTTGGAATCAGAGAATATAATCGCAATAACATAAGGGTGGAGAGTTTGACCCTCAGGGTTCAATTTGAGCTACATTTCACCAGCACTCAGAATTTGTTTTCAGTTCCAGAATCCAGACCTAATTCCCACTTACTTAGCAGGTGGATATTACGGGCTGATCTTCTGGATTTTAAGTATATGTAATTCTCAACACCTCACAACTACGTGATCATCTTGCTAGTCACATCTTTAAGAAGAACTGCCAACAGATAAACCAGTGGCTCGTATACAATAATAAACATTAGTCCAATCTGAATTTTTGACAAGACTTAAAAGAAAAAGAAGGTGATTAGTATCTTCTCTTTAGCCACCTTCTACAAGTGTGAGAGGGCCTTTTTGAAGCTATCAAGCAGAAAAGAAAGACAACTGATTCCTGCTAGTTCATCAAATAATCTGTCAAGGCATGGAGAAACAAGTATTTGCAAATAATAAAATAAATACTTATAAAACAAGTACAGTATTTCTTTCTATAGGTGGGAATAAGCTGCATAACTCCAAATGTATCTCAGCAAGATCTTGAAATTCAGAAACACCGAGCACAAGATTCACTACACAATACAGATGAACAACTGCATCTTAATCTTTCCTTATTAAATGTTCAGTATTCTAGACCACCCCTTCTTCTCTCTTTTTTTACTAAGACTGTTCTTTACCATTCAATTCAGCGACAGCACCATTAATCATATTAAGTGTTTCACCTCACTCAGTTTCACTTATTTAACTCAAAGGAAGCAATGAAAAAAGCTGCCAGCTAATGAAGCACCAAGGACTTAGGCAAACAAATGCTTACTGAGCAGTTGAAGAAGGCACACAGCATAGACATCAGAAGGCAGACAGAAAACACAAGGGGCCTTTGGGAAGACCAATGTTCCACAATGTATCTCTACCATGTTCATACTGGAGAATTGGGAAACATATTGGAAAATTAAGCAGCCACCAATGAAGATGGATCTTAGGTATCTTTAGGGTTGACAGAATGAAGGCCAAGCTGCATGGCATGGTAAACATGTACTAGTATTTGCAACTGCATGTACACTCAGAAGTGCTTTTTTCAAACATTGAACACCAGAGTGATGGTAAAAGGTAAAGGTAAAGGTTCCCTACTCAGAAGTGCTTTTTTCTAACACTGAACACCAGAGTGATGGTGGCACAATCCAAATCAGAAAGACAAAGCTCAAAGGAAGGGATCTTATGTAGATCTTATGTAAACCAAGGGAGACCTTACAGTGTATTGCAAAATGTTGTCAATTTACCAATATGTAAGGCACAAAATATATGTATCATGTAAAAAGTCCCACGTGCTCATGATTAGATGATGATAATAGCAAATACTAGTAATATTCCATGTCAACACACTGCTCTGCACCAGTAGAGTCCAGTATGATAAATGGCAGATACTCAGCAAAAACTAGATCAGGGCATAACATGGGATGGAACTGAGATGGGAGGGGGAGGGAGAGAGAGAGAGAAGGAGAGAGAAAGAGAGAAATGTTGGCCAGAATTCTATTGTGAATTTCAGCCAGTGGGAGTGTAACTGCATAAAGCATGGCAGCAAATTGTTATTGTTTAACAAGTTCTTGCTTTCATTTCTAGTCACATGTCAACACATACAACTGGCACATGATTAGAAATGTGAGTGGTGACTTGCTAATTAGCATCAATTTACTGCTGCAATATATACAATTACAATTGTAAAGCTATAACAGGATTCTGCCCAACATCTTATTTGCTTTCAGGGCAAAAAGCACTTGTGAGGGAGGAACTTCTTCAGAAACACATAGCAGAGGAAGCTTAAAACCATGCTGCAGCTATGCTCTACTCCTGATTCAGTTGAGAGATATTGTGGGTCCTTGACTTCTACATCAACACAAACAGACAGGAAGACAGATGAGTACTTAGTATAGCTTGTAGACTGGTTCAGAGAGGCAGACAGATCTAAGCCTTATGATGCAGCTCACCAGGAAATTCTAATGCAAAAGCACCATTCTAATGAACAGCCATAACACAGGAAAATGGGGTGGTGTGGGGAAGCTTACACAGGAAAAATGCCTGGTAGGAGATGATGAATCCTGAAGGACATTCCCCACTGCCAGTCATTGCCTTCTTTCTCATCCCTCGCAACAATAACATGAAATGACACTTGTTTTACCTAGTGTTTATCTTTATTCCACATCATAGGCAGGAACAAGATATTCTTTGGGGACAATCCCCACGGTGCGGTTCAGCAATCCGACCCACCAGCCATACATGTTATATTCCTGGAAATAAAACAAGGGCAGCATTAAGTGAAATGGCTGAACAAGGGAGGAGGTCTTGATGTGAGAATGGCTTAGATTCATGCCTCTGTCACTCAACTTTCTATGCATGTGAGCACATATAATCTTTCCAACTTGTCCCCTTCAGATAAATAACAACATTTAAAACACATTTTAGTATTCAAAGATTTTGGGTCTTTTAAAAAAAACCCACCTGTCCATTCAACCTAACAGTTTGCTCTCCCATCCTACTTGATAACCTGGTACATATACCTGCAAGTATGACTATTTCTGCACCATACAGGTGTATGCTTCCATTGATAGACACTCACAGCACACAATGGACAAGGGCAGAGAATGGAGAGTGGAACAAATGGGAGAATGGAAGGGGACATCTTATTGCCATCTGAAATATGGGGACACGAAATGTAGTGTGGTTATAAGGATTTTTATGAGGATTTAAGACAACTACCTGGCTGCTGTCCTTTGATTTTTATTCCTGCACTGAACAGGGTGTTGGACTCTATGACCTCATAGGCTGCTTCGAACTTCATAGTTCTATGACTAATGAGACAATGGGAAACAGAAGAAACCTCCCTGAAAGGTGGAAAAGCATCGCAAGTACACTCGGGCGTCCCCTGGGGAATGATGTGCAGCCGGCCAATCCTTCACTTCCAGGGCAACACTGAATCCACTCACTTCATGGATGCCGGAAGATGGCTGAAGTTGAGGAAAGGTTTCTGCACACATCTCAAGCTCCAACAACATCTGGTCCAAAACAGTCTGACTGTCTTGACATTTTAATTGCGTGTGGTGGGTGGTGGGGGTTTGGCCCATATTTCATGTTCATCCTTGATTTTGAATCATGCAGTGCTCTGATACAAATATTTATTTATTTTAAACCTCCACCCTCCCCTCCCAGCATTTTTCCTCAAAACGACCCAATAAGGAAATGAGACCATGCTGCTGTAGAGCTATGCTAAGCATGGTTTATTATTAACTATTAACAGGTTGTGATACATTGTTGTCAATGAACTGCCTTACTCATACAATTCCTTATGTGCATTCAGATGTAAAAAAGGTAAAGCAAAATATAAGCTTATCTCTTACAGCTGTGCATTTGTCAATAAACTGACAGAGAAGGGGAGCTGATTTAAGAGACCTATAGTTATCCCCTCCAACAAAGCTTGGCAACTTGTGGCCCTCCAGATGTTCTTGAATTGCAACTGCCTTCAGCTATAGCTAGCACAGGGAATACCGGAGTCCAGCATGTCATTTCAAGGGCCACACCTAGCTCTTCCTTGCAGGAAGGGACAGCTATGGGACTTTTATGTCCCCTCCCCTTAATGGTGAGCATATTGCCTAGTGCACTGTAAGGTATGCACCTTCACCTGCAACGGGGATGTGGCACATGGCTGGGGAAAGACGGTTCTCCTCCCTCCCCCATATATTATGTTTCTGATTTAGCAAAGGTGCCTGGCTCTGATGTATGTAGTTGCTTCATTAAGAGGCCAAAACATATTTTGCTCCTAACATGCCACTTCTTGGCCTCCATTTCCAGAACTTCTAAGCTGACTAGAATGTCTCTGTCCATAACAATCAAGACAGACAGCAACCAAACTAAGCATGCATATGCTGAACAGCAGTTTGCTACAGAAGCTACTGGTTCTTGTGGCCCTGGCTAGACAAATGCAAAGGGCTTTTTTTTAGAGGTTGATGTTCTTCACCTGTTGGCTATGGCATCAAAGGCAGCTTGCATGGAAAATGAGGCATTACAGATTAATCACTACAGGCCAAAAGACATAATTCATATCACCTAATGTTGATTTGTGCAAAATGCTTTTCAGTTCACACATTTTGCTGCAGTTATCAGGGGCACACTAATAAGCCAACAGTGTGCACTAGTGCATGTGTGAACCAAGCCCAAGGCTCTGGGAAAAAGAAAGAGAAAAAGGGGACAACTGTGCCAGATGGGTGGATATGGAAGCTGAAGATTAAGACCCAAACCACCATCTTCACTGCACTGCCTTGGCCTGAGTACCATGAGGTATTTTAAAACAATTTCAGCATTGAGGGATTGCTAGGGAACCAGCGATTGCTCATAATCAAAAAAGCAGGAATGGAATGCAAATGAGCGCAAGCCGAGAACCATCGGCGCCGGGCGCTTTATTTCCCTGCGCTGTGCCAAAAAGAATTAAAACAACATTAAACTCCCAGCAATAATGTTTAAGCTCTCGTTTCCGAGTGCCAAATTGCACCGCTCTGGATCATACAGATGTTCGTTAATTATGCTAATTTTTATTAAACTATTAAAATGGAGGAAGTTGCACTGGCAGAGCCCCGGCCCGAGGTGAACCCTGCCTTGTGTCTGGAGGTGCTCATTTGCTGGTTTCCCTTGATAAGCTGCTGATGCTCAAGATTAGGACTTTGCTTAGTGAGGGAGAATTTAGGGATGTGTGGGGGTGATGGAAAGGCTGAGTTTTTCAGCAGAAAATGTTGAGACATACTCTAAAGAGCATTAGACCCCATCCCCACTCTCGTATGTACCTTATGATCCAAATTCAACTTCTCTGCAAGGGCAGAACAGATAGTAGCCAGGCTGGCTCCCCATTGCCAGAATCAGCACAAGCCATTTGGCCACCATTCAAGATGTATTAATTTGATTTTGTTTATTAGTTGCTTTTGTTTTTCCAAAGAGCTCATGAAGTACATGATGTACATGTCCATCTTTCCCCTCATAACAATTTCGTTAGGTAGATTTTTCTGAGAGAGAGAGTGAACAAACCAGCCCTGGGGAAACCTGGTCAGGTTAACAACTAAATGGGGCAAGAACTTGGTTATCCAAGGTCACAGTCTAACTATTGGAAAGTTACTCTTTAAAAAGTAGGTAGCTGTAATTCCAATTCAAGGACCCCCAACACAAACAATTTCCATTATGCGGTTCAACATACAGTATAATTTAATTTTCTGTTTTCCTATCCTGAGCATTACTAAGCGTTACTAATCACTATTGTTTTGAATTGTTTTTAACTGTTTTAGTTTACAATGTTTAATGGAACCCGCCCGGAGTAGACTTTGTCTAAAAGGGCGGGATAGAAATCTAATGAATGAATGAATGAATGAATGAATGAATGAATAAATAAAAAAATAGCTGCAGCTTAAAAACAACTATTTCTGGAGGAGCTTCATGGCACAATGGTTAAACTGCAGGACTGCAGTCAAGACTCTGCTCGCCACCAGGGTTCAATCCTGACAGGCTCAAGCAGGAGGCTGACTTAGCCATCCACCCTTCCGAGATCCATAAACTGAGTATCCAATATGCTGGGGGAGCAATGTGAAGCCTGTATAATTAAACTGTAAACCCCATCAGGGTTCAATCCTGACAAGCTCAAGCAGGAGGCTGACTCAGCCATCCACCCTTCTGAGATCCGTAAACTGAGTATCCAACATGCTGGGGGAGCAGTGTGAAGCCTGTATAATTAAACTGTAAACCACCCAGAGAATGCCTTAAAGCACTGAACATTATGAGCTATGCATCAAGCTATCACTTACACTTCCCACAATGTCCTGGCATGATGTTCTGTTGAGGGCACTGTGAAGAATTAAAACGGTGGCTATACTCAGCCACGTGGCCATACTTGGAGGACTTGGCTAGAATTTGTACAAAGACAGGCCCAGGCTTAGTGTCCACTGTGAACATTTTTGTGGTAGTACCTTCTCAGCAGATGCCAAAGAAGGCCAGAGTCAGTCCTTAGTTTTTCTTTGACTTTGGAATAGCTTCCTCTGAAAGTTTAGCAAATAACTATACCTCAATAATTTTTGGAGGTTAATTTTTTCTTTCTTTTTCCTTCCACCTGTGTAAACATTTCAGTGTTGGGGAACAGCTAAAGGTTATTTCCAGTGTTTGGTTTCAGCCATGTAAAATGAATGCTTTAATGCTGTTGTTCAGCAATGGCCAGCACAAATTCTTTTCCCAACATCAGGGTCTTTTCCAGGGAGTCTTTTCTTCTCATTAGATGGCCAAAGTATTGGAGCCTCAGCTTCAGGATCTGTCCTTCCAGTGAGCACTCAGGGTTGATTTCCTTTAGAACTGATAGGTTTGTTCTCCTTGCAGTCCAGGGGATTCTCAATAATTTTTGGAGGTTAATTTTTTTCTTTCTTTTTCCTTCCACCTGTGAACATTTCAGTGTTGGGGAACAGCTAAAGGTTCTTTCCAGTGTTTGGTTTCAGCCATGTAAAATGAATGCTTTAATGCTGTTGTTCAGCAATGGCCAGCACAAATTCTAATTTCTAAAAGTACAACCCTTTTTTCTGAGCTGGGGCAAAACCATCAGTGAAAGAATATTTAAAAGCTAAGGTCTTTGGGCTTCGTCTTCCAGAAATCTTCTCTCTCTGTGTGTATATGTGTGAACATGGGTTTGAGAAATTGAGAGAGAGAATGAGAGAGGATGAGAGAGGATGTGTGTGAGAGAAATCCTTACATTAAATGTTGAGCTGCATGGTGGAATCAAACTGGGATGTGCTGTATTAAAATAAGGAGAAATCTTGTTTCACGTTCCAAGATCAACAATTCTACTGAGGGAGATGGGAATGCATCTCTCATACCTAGATTAATTGCATGAAGAAAACAAATGCATGTATGAGTGTAACATTATCTCAAGAACACACCATATGCTCAGCTCAGAGATCCATTTAAAACAATAATAATCCCCAAACATGCAAAGAATGTCATAATTAAAAGGACAATTTCTTTCTTCCCACCCTGCTTCCAAATTCCATCTCAGCAGCTGCCTGCTGCACAACTTGTGTGGCATTTTATATAGAGATCACACAGACACAAAAGAATTTGTGTTGCTGATGTCCACCCGGAAATGGAAAAATGATATCTTTAAAATGATGAGAAAGCACAATATTGTATGAACTATAATAGGATGCTGACAAGCAACATGGGAAAAATTTCCTGGCTTCTCTCAGTCTCCTCATGGCATCCCTGTGGCTGTTTT